CTGTTCCCCGAATAGTGAGGTAAAAATATAAATTTAATGCAGGATCTAGAAAAAATCTGATTGTGATTAAACCAGAAAAATGTAAAATAAATGAACAAAAGCAATTTTTTAAGTTTGGGCTCCTAAACATTAGGTCACTCGCACCCAAAGCAGTTATTGTAAATGAAATGATCACAGATAATAGTTTTCATGTACTCTGCTTATTAAAAATATAAAAATTATTATATTGGTCTAAATGAGTCTACTCCAGTTACTGTTTATAAGCATGAGCCCCGTCAGACTGGTCGTGTTGGCGGTGTTGCAACAATATATAGTGATATTCTCAATGTTACTCAGAAAACAGGATACAGGTTTAACTCATTCGAAATACTTCTGCTTAATGCTACACTGTCAGATATGCAAAATAAATCTATCATATCTCTTGCTCTGGCTATTGTGTATAGACCACCAGGGCCGTATACAGATTTCCTAAAAGAATTTGCAGATTTCCTCTCAGACCTATTGGTTACTGTTGATAAAGCGCTAATTGTTGGAGATTTTAACATTCACGTTCATAATACAAATGATGCATTAGGACTTGCGTTTACTGACCTAATAAACTAACTGTCACGAATCCGGTCCATGAACTTCCTTCTGCCAGCCATCAGAGGTCACCCTTTCCGATTTCATTGACTCTCGCACTACACACTGTTGCACATCACCCCGGACTACATATCCCATCATTCATTGCACTGATTGCACTCAGCACGGATTGCACACAGCTGTTAACACTGATTGCACCCAGCTGTTTCATATCACTCCCTCACTTTTTAACACTCACTCTGATCCCTTCCCTCTGCCGAGTATTGTTCAGCACTTATCTCCAGATAGCTACACTACAGAGCCCTCATTTGTTTCCCTGCCTTAGCGGTTTTCTCGGTTTCTTATCTTTGCCTGGTTTCCTGGATTTCTCCTTTAGTTTTGCCTCTTTTTGATTCTGTCTGCCGTTCATTGACCTACGCTAGCCCTAGGACTAT